AATCCAACTGGCACCTGTACTCCTCAGCGCTAAACTCGGCTTAAGATGAGCCAATTCCAACTACGAGTTTATATAAGTGGAGCTGCATACCTTATGCAGAGCTGCCAGGTCTAGTGTAGACCTGGCCTAAATAAAAACAAAGAAATAATAAGAAAAGAATTTCTGCCTCGAAATGTGGACTTTGAAGCATTCCCTAAGTTTAGTCTTGCAGGAGAGAGGGCACGCCTACACAGCAAGGCTAAACTCAAAATAAGCTATGCAACTTGAGCTATGCTAATTGCGTAGTTCAAGTCGAAATAGCTTATTTCGATTTTTGGCGTTGTCTACACAGCAGTTATTTCAAGATAGAGCATTCTTCCCTGGACTTCCCTTACTCCTCCTACAAAAAGGGTTACAGGACTCGGAGTAAGCAGTCCTCCAGCTCGACGTTATTTCGACGTTACATCAAAATAACTGCTTGGCTATGTCTACACTGGCATGATTTTCCGAAAATGCTTTTAACGGAAAAGTTTTCCGTTAAAAGCATTTTCGGAAAAATCAAGTCTAGATTGGCGGGATGCTTTTCCGGAAAAGCACTTTTTCCGGAAAAGCGTCTGTGGCCAATGTAGACACGCTTTTCCGGAAAAAAGCCCCGATCGTCATTTTCGCGGTCGGGGCTTTTTTGCGGAAAACAGTACTATGCTGTTTACACTGGCCCTCTTGCGCAAAAGTATTTTGGAAAAAGACTTTTGCCCGAACGGGAGCAGAATAGTATTTCCGGAAAAGCACTGATGATTTTACATGAGATCGTCAGTGCTTTTCCAGAAATTCAAGCGGCCAGTGTAGACAGCTGGCAAGTTATTCCGGAAAATCAGATGATTTTGCAGAAAAACTTGCCAGTCTAGACACAGCCCTTGTGTGTAGATGCAGACTATGTTATTTTAGAATAAGATCAGTTATTCCGAAATAACGCTGCTGTGTAGGCATAGCATAGGAAGGAAAGTTACCAAAATGTGGATTGCACAGCTAAAATTCAGGAGTGGTGGGGACCCCACACCCGACTGCTAACGTGTACCTCCCCCGCAAATGGAAACAGCCACAGTGGACTGAAGGAAACAGGAGTGAAACTGTTTGATGCCAAGTGCCAGGCTGGGAATAGCAGACTGTCGGGGCTATTGAATCAAATAACAGATCTGGCGCTGTGAATCCCCCTGAGATCCCCAGCAAGGGGCTCGGGCTTGGAACGGAGCGCTCTGGCCACCCGCAAGTGAGCTAAATGGCTTGGCACAGTAGGTAAGTCCCTTCCCTGGTAATCAGCGCAGTGCCAGGGAACAGCTGCTTCTCACCCAGGAATTTGTTTTTAATCTTACATGCTCCTTCCCTGTTGGTCTCCAGGGTGCCGAGAGGGAGTCTGCAAACGGAGACATGAAAAATCCTCATTTTCTCCAGCTTTGCTGGGGCTTTGGGGCTCTGACAAGCCTGGGAGTCAAGAGATGTGCTGCTTGCTCCCTCTCCTTTTCCACCCCCATCCCTGGAACATCTCCTCCCTACCCCCGCAGAGGAACAGCTAGGGTCTCGGACCCCTAGGGCCACACGGCAGGAAGTTGCCCTTCCTGCTGGCTTCCTTTTCTGTGGCATCAATTTCCTATCTAATACTGACCCCAAGTGTTTGGGATCTGGGAGATTTAAACAGAATCCGAGAGCTTGCAACACAGTTCTCATCGTTTGACCTGGTCTGCCTTTACCACACCCCGGAGAGAGAGGCACCAAGGAAGAAGGACGCACAGACAAACAGCTGACAAGTCATCTGCCCCAAAGGACTAAAAACAAGTCGCTGCTGCTGCAAATTAATCCTGGCCTGGGGGGAAAGTAACTTAATTTTCTTAGAGGTGCGGTCCCCTCACAACCAGCCCCCACATGGGGTGGGGGGGGAGTATTAGGGTGCCCTTGTGTGTAGATGCAGACTATGTTATTTTAGAATAAGATCAGTTATTCCGAAATAACGCTGCTGTGTAGGCATAGCATAGGAAGGAAAGTTACCAAAATGTGGATTGCACAGCTAAAATTCAGGAGTGGTGGGGACCCCACACCCGACTGCTAACGTGTACCTCCCCCGCAAATGGAAACAGCCACAGTGGACTGAAGGAAACAGGAGTGAAACTGTTTGATGCCAAGTGCCAGGCTGGGAATAGCAGACTGTCGGGGCTATTGAATCAAATAACAGATCTGGCGCTGTGAATCCCCCTGAGATCCCCAGCAAGGGGCTCGGGCTTGGAACGGAGCGCTCTGGCCACCCGCAAGTGAGCTAAATGGCTTGGCACAGTAGGTAAGTCCCTTCCCTGGTAATCAGCGCAGTGCCAGGGAACAGCTGCTTCTCACCCAGGAATTTGTTTTTAATCTTACATGCTCCTTCCCTGTTGGTCTCCAGGGTGCCGAGAGGGAGTCTGCAAACGGAGACATGAAAAATCCTCATTTTCTCCAGCTTTGCTGGGGCTTTGGGGCTCTGACAAGCCTGGGAGTCAAGAGATGTGCTGCTTGCTCCCTCTCCTTTTCCACCCCCATCCCTGGAACATCTCCTCCCTACCCCCGCAGAGGAACAGCTAGGGTCTCGGACCCCTAGGGCCACACGGCAGGAAGTTGCCCTTCCTGCTGGCTTCCTTTTCTGTGGCATCAATTTCCTATCTAATACTGACCCCAAGTGTTTGGGATCTGGGAGATTTAAACAGAATCCGAGAGCTTGCAACACAGTTCTCATCGTTTGACCTGGTCTGCCTTTACCACACCCCGGAGAGAGAGGCACCAAGGAAGAAGGACGCACAGACAAACAGCTGACAAGTCATCTGCCCCAAAGGACTAAAAACAAGTCGCTGCTGCTGCAAATTAATCCTGGCCTGGGGGGAAAGTAACTTAATTTTCTTAGAGGTGCGGTCCCCTCACAACCAGCCCCCACATGGGGTGGGGGGGGAGTATTAGGGTGGGGGAGTTGTGATATGACAGCACCTATAAGACATGTAAGTGTGGGGTGGAGGGCTCTCTAGTCACCAGCCGCTTGACACCTCCCCCCCCGCGCAGGCTCTCCATCCACTGGTCCTGCTCCACACTGGGGTCCCGGCTGCCGCCAGCCCTGCACAATCAGGGATTTCCTGCTGCCGCCCTGCACGCCAGAGTCCTAACTGCCAGCCTCCACTTTGGGGGGCAGGAGGAGGAGAAGACCCCACCCCCAGCCACTTTCTCACCGGTGTACCATATCTGGGCGCACTGATTTATTTTCACCTGATCCTGGTTCACCCTGGTCCTCCCCTTGAGAAGGGTCCTCTGCCCTTCTTTTCATGTGCAAGGCTATTTCTGCCTGCCTCTGTCACTTCCACTCCACGCATCTGATGAAGTGGGTCTTTACCCATGAAAGCTTGGGCCCAAATAAATCTGTTAGCCTTTAAGGTGCCACAGGACTCCACATTGTTTTTGCTGGGGACAGAGTCAAGGGATTTGACTTCACTTGGCAACTCCTCCACAGCATTTTCTGTGTAAACTAGGGCAGGCCATTTAACCTGTCTGTGCCTCAGTTTCCCTTCCTCTATACTACAAAAGGAGAGCATGCGGGCTTTCAGATATATTCACTAATGCTTGTGTGGCACTCAGGCACTCCAGTCAGGGGACAATATAAGTAACTACAGTAGACTTCCAATAATCCAGAACCTATGGGATTTAGGTGGTGCCAGATTATCAAATATGCCAGACTATCAGGAGGTACTATAAGCTGGTTATATATATATTGTATATATTATATATTGTATATAAAGTGTTCTTAACCCTTTTTATTATACATACTGTATACAGTATACTGTAATGTTTTAGGTTTTTTAAGCCTTTTTTACCCTTTTTGCTCAATTCAGCTGCTGCCGCTATTACCTTGTGAGTCATTTTTTGCCGAAGCTCACTCACTAGGCTCTTTCCATTTTGATGCCGGACTATCAGGAGTGCCGGACTATTGGAATTTTACTGTAGAAGGATGGAATCATTCAGGTAATGTCAGAGCTTCATCCATCTCAGGCAACCGAAAGTGGCTGAAAAGTGAGTGTTGTCTTGGTGCACTTAGCCATAGTGAAACCAACTGCTAAATGGTGAATAATTTGCAGCGATGCGAACAAAAATGTGCTAGATTCGTATGCTGTGACTTTGGGACCTTTAAGAGTTCGGCTATGGAGTAACATTCGCTGTCATTAATGGGTGGGAATTGCAGGCACCTTGGAATGTTTCAGGAGCCCATAGAGTCTATTTCATTGAAAGTGAGGTGAAATTACGAGAAGACTCCCCACGCGTGGGAATAGCAGGTCTAATGGATGAACTCGGCTTGCATGGCAACCATCATCTTGACTGAAGCTATAACTTGAACCAGCAAACTCCAGCGCTGAAAGCAAAAGTCACGACAGCTTGAACTAAAGATTAACTCAAGCAGCTGGGACTGTTACTAACTGACACTTTTCCGAATCGGGCACAGAAAGGGATGGGAGGCTCACTGTGGGCAAAAGCATCATGCTGATTAGTCGACAGTTCCCTAGTCTTCATGCTCTCACGTTCTTGGTACCCCCCAAATGTTCTTAACAAAGAGGAGCTTGGACACCTTTGCTCAAGATCCTTACTCTCCGATTCAGGAAAGCATCACCAAGTACTTCTGATCGATAATTACTTGGCTTCGGTGGGAGAAACCTTTCAACCGTTAATAGCCATTTCGTTTACAGGCTAAATTCATTCCTTTGACGGCTGTCCCTAATGTTCAGCCAAATGAGCCCAGAAACTTATTAATAAAATAGAGACACTGATGAGTGTGGCAGGCAAAGAGAAATGTGCTACAACAGACTAATTTACACATTCAGTTTCACAGCTTGTACCTAGCTTCACGTTTGATTCCAAACACCCCTTGACTTAAAGGCAAGACAGCTCCCAAATCAGCACTTTTTTCTCTTTTTTTCCTGCCTGCCCAAAGGTTTAAAAAAAAAGACACTTTTTAATATCATTGAAAATCCATCCTCTTTTATGCAGAGTTGTGTGCAATTTCTCAAGTCACTTGTCCCCTGAAGAAGTCTGGACGGGTCTCAAAGGGGATCGCCATTCCAGCTCCCTTTCTATGATGCACTCTCTGTGTCATGCTGCAAATGTCTGTTCTGCAGGGTATTAAGGTTACTTCAGAAAAGCTCACGGATCTTCAGCTACAAGAATGCAGAACTGCCATGAATTCTTTGCTTTGCTTTTCACTGCAGATAACCACTGTGACGGGACATTCCATATTCTGCATGGGAATATGGTTATGCATGTGACATAACTGGAATATATTTAATGTGACATAGCTCATGTAAGGTATCAGGAAAGGCAGTAATGTACTGAACATGATTATCCCATTGCATGTATCACACCTGTATTTGAAGTTAGAAATAGGAAGTATAAACTTGTGTCATTAATGTAGTCGTGCTAAGTGAGAGCCATCCACATTAAGGGAGCCTGCCTCAGACCCATTTTGAGTCTTCCTTGTACTGCAGGCATGCTATATCGAAATAAGCTATTTCTGAGCATTTCTTCCGGAATAGCTTCTTTTGAAATATGCATGCAGTGTAGATGTACCCTAAGGAACTAAAGGACATTAGGATGCTTTTGGAGGAGGATACAAATTACATTTTGGCTACAGAACAAAACGCAGAAGGACTCCAGAAACAGGCCACGAAATCACAGAACAACATAGCAGAGATGTCTCTGAACCACAGTTTAACCCTGAAAACTTTATGCTTCTGAGAAACACATTTCATTTAAATTTTCTTATAGGTAAAATATTACGCTGTTGGTGTCTTTTGTTTCTAAGTCATACATTGTTTTTCACTCTTTTAAGGCCAAGAGGTGTGGACGAGAGCCATTCCCTGAGCGACGGGGACTTTGAGAAGGAAGGTGGATAACAACATCAAACCACTGATTAGTGTTTGTATGGTTTTGAAATCTGCAAATGTATGAAAATTTCGCTGTGAAGAAACCAGCTCTGAGGACATTCATCTGTTTACTTGTCACTCAGAGGTGTAGCGAAGGGTGTGCAGGGGGGACAATTGCCCCCAGGTGCCACACTAGGGGGGCCCTGGGCCGGGGTGAGAGCGTGCGCACGCTGTGCAGGCTCACCTGGCATGAGCGGCGAGTTCTATGGCCGTCTCGGCTGTCCCTGCCATGCGCAGCATTCAGTCGGCTCCCCCTTGCCTGTGCACGCTGCGCACGGCAGGGATAGTCCGGGGGGGAGGGATGGCCATAGAACTCGCTGCCCATGCCAGCGTTCAGTCGGCTCCCCCTTGCCTGCACACGCTGCGCAGCATTTGCAGGTGACCGGGAAGATGCCCGGGCGTGACATGACGTCACAGCCTGGGACTTTAAAAGTGTTCGGTGCCGCGTGGTGCCGGCCTAGCTTCCAATTCAGAGTCCAGGGACTTTTGGGGCCCGAGTGCAGACTCCGGTCCCGCAAGTGGAAGGCAGAAGGTACAGCAGGGCAGAGCAGGGGGAAAACTAGGGGGAAGCGGTGGGAGAGTAAGGGGCTTGTGTGGAGGGGGGAAGGGAGAGGAAGGGACTTGTGTGGAGGTGGAGGGGAGAGGGAAGATACAAATGACAATGAGGAAAAGGGCAGGAGGGGAGGTGTCAGTGGGAGGGGGGACAGGGTAATGCTGGGAGAGATGAGATGAGGAGAGAAGAGAAGAGGAGAGGAGAGGGGAAGGGCATTGGAGGCTAGAGGGGGAGGTGCTGGGAGAAGGCTTGAAAGAAGGGGTGGGTATGAGAAAGGTGAGGGTGGGATGAGGTTTACCGGGGCTGCCGACAAAGAGCTTTGATGTCGGCAGGGGAGCGTTCAGACTAGCGCGCTAAGTGGACAAACAGCTGATCAGCTGTTTGTCGGCTCAGTGCGGCAGCCATGTAAATTTAAATGCAGCCGCGATCATTTAAATCGCGGCTTCATTTGACTTTGCCAAAACAACAAATCTACATGTCGACGGAGTCATGTAGTTTAGACGTACCCCTACAGGACATTTAGGGGTAAATTAGAGCTAAATGCCAGCTCAGAACACTGCAAGCCAGGACTGGTGGGTTTTTTACAGGACCTAAAGGAAACCGGACGCATGGCAAGCAGACATCTGGCTAACTAAAATTATGCCAGACCACAGATGTTGCTGGATCAGAGAGTGCCAGATTAGAGAGGTTCAACCTGTATTCTTGATCCATTAAAACAAGAAAAAGCAGATGTGTAATTTAGTATGAATCCAGAACTCACTGAAGTCAATGGGGAGTCCTTGCATAGACTTAAGTGGACTTTGGATAGGGCTCCAACTGTTACCCAGCACATGTGCTCTGGGCATGGAAACATAGTCAGTTACAAACCACAGATACCAATAATTACTCAAAATGATAAAATAATTATTATTTTTTAAATAACTACATACTTCAATGTAGGTGTTGCATTCCTTGCTTCACATCAATTCATCTCATATTATTGGTGTCACTGGAATCCTCAAAGTTAAACAGATTTGAGTTACTAACATACTTTGTTCCCTGTGGGGTGCAAAAATGAACTCAGGCAAATCTGAATAAGTCCCTAATGGCACATATTATAAATCAAACAACAGTTACAGAAAGGAGGTGCTGTGGGAAGGGAAAAGGATCTGTAATGTTTGTAACTGATGGAGCGAGAAGGCAAAATTTGTGTTTTTCGAAACATCAGCCCACTGGGGAGCAACATAAAGCAAGATTCTTCATTTTTATAAAAAGGTGATTTTAACATAGTCCTGTCTCTGGGCAAAATTCTCCACTCCCAGCTGCACTGCCAGCCTCCAATGAATTTTTATTCATAATTAGCATCAATTGCTGTTCCACATACAAAATGTGCAGTAGAGACTAGGGATGTAAAATCCTGTTTAATTGCCACTTTTAAAAAACGAGTAGTCCTGTGGCTCCTTAGAGACTAACAAATATATATAGGTAGTATCATGAGCTTTCATGGGCACAACCCACTTCTTCAGATGAAATGATCTTGAGACATTTCATCTGAAGAAGTGGGTTTTGCTCACAAAACTCATGATACTATCTATACATATTTGTTAGTCTCTAAGGCTATGTCTAGACTACATCCCTCTTTCGAAAGAGGGATGTAAATTAGACAGATCAAAATTGCAAATGAAGCTGGGATTTGAATTTCCCATGCTTCATTTGCATAATGGCGGCCACGTGTACTTTCGAAAAAGGGCTTTTTGAAAATGAAATCGCCATCTAGACGCGGTTCTTTCGGGAAAAAAACCCTTTTTCAAAAGATCCTGTAAACCTCATTTTCTGAGGAGTACAGGATCTTTTGGAAAAGGGGGGATACGAAAAAACCGCATCTAGTCGGCGGTTTCACTTTCGAAAAGCTCTTTTTTGAAAGAACATGTGGCCGCCATTATGCAAATGAAGTGCAGGAAATTCAATCCCAACTTCATTTGCAATTTCGATATGTCTAATTTACATCCCTCTTTCGAAAGAGGGATGTAGTCTGGACATGACCTAAGATGCCACAGGACAACTCTTTTTTTAAAAAAAATTGTTTTTAAAGTTACAGACTAACACAGCTACCCCTCTGAGACCCATTTAATTGGTTAACCTGTTAAACGTGAAGTTTAACCAGTTAACCAATTAAGGGTGCTCCAGCTCAGCTGGGATGAAGCACCCATTCAGTCCCTCTCCCATCCCCCTCACCTCCCGCCACAGGCAGGGGCTGCTCCAGCCTGGCCTGAGCAACCCCTGCCTATAGGGGTGGGGGGTGCCGCTCCAGCCCTGCTGCAGACAGGGGCTGCTCCGGAAGCCCAGGGCAACCTCTGCCTGTGACACACGGGGCCCACCAGGAACAGGGCTGCTCCAGCCCTCACCAGTTAACGGAACTCATAAGCATCATCCATTAAGGGTGACGATTACTGGTTAACCAGTTAACCTTTCACATCCCTTCTAGGAACCCAGAAGACAGAGAAGAAATCTGCCCTTTTACTATTATATCCCCTTTAAATCTCTTGTTACGCCTTAAATCATCTCCCAAAATATAATTGTTTTGTTTGTCTGCAAACTTTTGATCCTCCTTGCTTTCAGAAAGGGGATTCTATGTAAAGCATTAGCCATAATATTGAAATGTCAGGTATTCAAACAACATGTATGCCCCCCAGGACATATAAGTTTAATTTAAAATCATGGCATTTTTCTAAAACAATAAAGGTTGGGTTCTTTTTGCTTTCTGTGCTCTGAGCTTATTTAGGGGTCACATTTTCAAGCTTGTCTCCACAACCTTGAAACCTATGGATTGGCTAAATGGACTGTAAAATGGATAGAAAGCTGGCTAGACTGTCGGGTCTAGTGGGTAGTGATCAATGGCTCAATGTCAGGTTGGCGGTCAGTTTCTAGTGGAGTGCCCCAAGGATCGGTTCTAGGACCGGTTTTGTTCAATATCTTTATTAATGACCTGGATGAGGGGATGGATTGCATCCTCAGCAAGTTTGCAGATGACACTAAGGTAGGGGGAGAGGTAGATATGCTGGAGGGCAGGAATAGGGTGACCTGGACAGATTAGAGGATTGGGCCACAAGAAATCTGATGAGGTTCAACAAGAACAAGTGTAGAGTCCTGCACTTGGGACAGAAGAATCCCAAGCATTGTTACAGGCTGGGGACTGAATGGCTAAGTAGCAGTTCTACAGAAGAGGACTTGGGAATTACAGTGGACGAGAAGCTGGATATGAGTCAACTGTGTGCCCTTGTAGCCAAGGCTAATGGCATATTAGCTTGCATTAAGAGGAGCATTTCCAGCAGATCCAGAGAAGTGATTCTTCCCCTTTATTCAGCTCTGGTGAGGCCACATCTGGAGTATTGTGTCCAGTTCTGGGCCCCCAAGTACAGGAAGGATGTGGACGCATTGGAGAGGGTCCAGCGGAGAGTGACCAAAATGATTAGGGGGCTGGAGCACATGACCTATGAGGAGAGACTGAGGAAGTTGGGTTTGTTCAGTCTGCAGAAGCGAAGAGTGAGGGGGGATTTGAGAGCAGCCCTCAACTTCCTGAAGGGAGGTTCCAAAGAGCCTAGAGAAAGGCTGTTCTCAATAGTGATGGATGGCAGAACAAGGAGCAATGGTCTCAAGTTATAGTGGGAGACATCTAGGTTGGATATTAGGAAAAATTATTTCACTAGGAGGGTGGTGAAGCACTGGAATGGGTTACCTAGGGAAGTGGTGGAATCTCCATCCCTAGAGGTTTTTAAGTCTTGGCTTGACAAAGCCCTGGCTAGGTTGATTTATTTGGGATTGGTCCTGCCTTGGGCAGGGGGCTGGTCTTGATGACCTCCTGAGGTCTCTTCCAGCTCTATGAATCTATGGGTATGTCTACACTGTCACCCTAGTTCAAACTAGGGTGGCTAATGTAGGCATTCGAGCTTGCAAATGTAGGCACGGACTAGGTAGTTCGAAGTAAAGCAATGAGGAGTAATGGTAGTTCGAATTAGGAGCTTTAATTCGAACTACCTAGTCCGTACCGCGTGTAGCCGCGGGCAGGGAGTTCAAACTACGGGGCATTTAAAAATGGCAGCGCCCAGGAACATGAAAATAAAGCCCAGGATATTTAAATCCCAGGCTTCATTTGAAAGCCTACATTAGCCAGGCTTCATTTGCAAGTCTACATTTAAATCCTAGGCTTCATTTGAATGCCTGCATTAGCCACCCTAGTTCGAATACCCTTAGATTCTAACCACAAGGAACTAGACATTTACTATACTTTAAATTAAAGCTGTGATTCCCACAAACTGCCATAACTCCAAGAACTGTTGCTTTGTGAGCAGTACCCATCCTTTCAGAACTCCCACAAGATGGCAACATTGAGGAAGGTATCAAATATCTTCTCAAACAGCCAAATCATTATCTATGAAATCTCATTATTTTTAAGCCAATCTCATGATTTTTTTTTTTGAGTAGGTGAGGCTGCCTCATGATTTCGTAAAGCTTGTAATTGGCAATAGTGACCTCTCTGGGCATGATCTGTCCTCCCAGCCATGGAAACAGTTGTGGAGAATTCCTCCATGAGCGTGCACATAATTAGGCTTGGAGAAAACAAGATTTTTATGGATAAGCATCAGCAATGTTCCCTGTAATCTTTTCCATCCATGTGCAGAATAAATTGTATGTGCCCTGAGGCATGTGCGAACATGCACCACTACTAGAAACAAAAAACTTAGCTCTGGATGTTCTGCTAATCAGCGGGCAGCCCTTGACTCTCTCCTGAGTGGCCGCACAAGCTCACAGATTACAGGGAACACTGATCCCTCAGTAAACATTGATTTCACCATAATAGAAAAGGATGAAAAAAATTTCCAACGATAATGAAAATGTACAGCTAGGGAAAGGAAGGAAATTGCTTCTTGAGAACTTAGTTGGAGTGTGATTTGTGGCTATTTACTTTGCAAAGTTTGACATGTGGTGTGTTGACAATGGCTGTCTAAGGCTATAAAGCAGCAATAGTCTACCTAGGCTAGTGAGCGAGCTGCATGAGTGGCCGTCTTTCATCTCAGTGGGCCACAAGATTGTGGTAACCAAGACGGTCTCCCAGGATAGGGTACTTTTGCTCACTGTGCTTGCACACCTTCAATTTGCAGCATGTGTTGACTAAACCGTAGCACCGCTGTGATGGGACGCAGAGGGAGCACAGCTCTCCAGTCAAGTGTGTCCAGTCAGCCCGCACCTCCCTTCACAGTGCCCGTTCTTTACTGCGTGGCACTTTAGTAGCCAGCTGTATGAAAAAAATAGGTGGACAGAAAGCAGTGGCATGTGACAACTCTGCTCGTGGGCCACGGTGAACCAAACGCTTTGTGGGCCACGCAGAGCCCGGTGGGCTGCTTATAGCCCCATGGGCCACTGCCTGCCCACTTAGCTCCCTGCATCTCAGCTTCCACTGTTAGTGACCGGTCTGTGGCCAGCCATGTGCAAATGCGCGTAACCCAGTCAACGTGCCCAGCGGCTCAGGCAGCAGGGCTGGGGCGGGCGGCTCCCGGGGAGCCG